GGGGGGGCCCCTAGAATAATGTCTAGAGATTTGAGGCTTTAAATCTTTATTCCTTTTCTTTGCCTTTTGATTTGCTTTACTCACCCTCTATTCCTTATTTACTTTTCCTAAGCTCTTTAGTTGTAGATTTCCATTGAGGTTTGATGCTTTAGGAGGCTTTTGGATGGAGATTTCTATTAAAACTTTGTAGATTTCCTTTGAGATTTGATGCTTTTGGAGGCTTTTGGATGGAGATTTCTATTAGAAAAGTTGAGATTTCCATCGAGATTTGATGCTTTTGGAGGCTTTTGGATGGAGATTTCTATTAAGAAATTTGAGATGTCCTTTTATTTTAATATTGCCAGAGGTCTTCAAACTTAGGAATTCTTATTTCCTTTTAATTTAATATTGCCAGAGGTCTTCAAAGTTATGAATTCTTATTTCCTTTTAATTTAATATTGCGAGAGTAGCTCCAGAGGTAGCTAGCTAAGGATTCCTTATTTAATTATCAACTGATTGATTTTCATATACATTATTTTGGAGGCCTTGGTTGTTGAGGGGGGGGGGTTTATAAATCAAGGGACTACATTAGATACGTCATTAAAAGATGCTGGTCTGCTGGTATGGATCAAGCCCTGCGCGTCAATCAGAACTCGTACCCCCAAGGGCGTCCCCACCTCGTTTCCCATGAAAGGGCACACCTCGCAAGGTCTGGTCGTCCAACACGTCGTCCGTTTCCTCGTTGATCGACCAACGATGACGGTCCAACGATGACGGCCTGCAAAGATCGCCAGTGCCTCTTCCCAACGATGTCCTCTGGGCCGATCCGGATCGGCTGAGACACGACGTGGCGCGCAGCGGCGCAGCGCATGATAAGGGATGGCATCCGGGTCACATGTTAGGATAACTCAAGCTTTACCAACTGTCTGGTGGGAACAGGCTAGCCTCACGTACTCTACAAGACAATACTGGCCAATTCAATGTAATGGCATCCGTCATGATTGAGATCTCCATGGATATTGTCAACTCATCTTCATGGGGTACAGTCTCTCTCCATCCCCCAATCTCACGACATCATGGTCACCATGGCTTTGTGAACCCTTCATCACCCAAACCCAAAATTCATTGAATTCTCCAGCCTACTCAGTGTACCCCTCCATCCTCACCCCCAGGATGGATGCATGGAATGAATTCCAGTCTTGGAATCCACCATCTTCAGCCCGGTCCACACCGTGGATTCGGACCACCACGGGTCGGTAGGGTCCGGGTCGCTGGGTCCGGTGACCACCCGGTGGGTCGACGTCTCCTGCTTCGCAGGCACTGATGGCGGTGTTGACGGTGACCTGGTGGGTCGTTGCCCCCAACCGTTCCACGGGACGAAATGACCGGTCGTTCCTCCGGTCCTGACCGGAAGACCCTACATGGCTACATGTACATAGCTACATGCCACTACATGCCCAAAGTGTCCTTAAAAACAGAAAAAAACAAACATATAAACATAAACATATATCATATCCTAAACACAATTCGGCTCCATATTCTATGCTCGCGACAACGTTAGGTCCATTTGGTGAGGCATTGTTCTGGACTCACTGTACCAACCTGCTAGCTCTGACTCTGTTTATTGTACACAAGAAAAAGACCACATCACATAACTAAGATCTGACGCAACCCACCAGCTCTGAACCAGTAACTGTCTGTAACCTTCCCAGTTCACACACTCCCAGCCTGTGGTAGCCCCAACCGCTTCATCTCCATCGCTGCCAGCAGCTCCAGTGCCATGGTCCAACCTCGGCCGAGGTTTGCTGAGGTTCAACCTGTCCCGAGGGCTCCAACTACCTCAGTTTCGTAGGTGTTTGGGATGGGTGCCACGAAGGTTTTGATACCTTCTGACCAAGAGAATATTGGAGCCCTCGGCCGTAGTCAACCTACATCTACTTATCGCTGAGCCTTTCTTGACTTCATCGCTCGGTCTTGCACCAATCAGTGCTTCACCCACACAATTTTGTCCTCCAGCAAAATGTCTTTTGAGACTGCCCGAGATTGGGTGCGCAACTCTTCGGGTTTTGAGATGTTTTGAGCTATATACATATCCTGCAAGTTCCACCAGCAAGAGCTTCCACCAGGTACAGTGCTCAGTAACTCAAACACCAAAGTGAGGACCCGCCGCCATCCATCCGCTCACCGTCGACCGGGAACGGTGCAGACCGGGCACGGTGTGCTTTCACACAGCCATGCATGGCAGCAGAGAAGCCGATGGCATCTTGGGGAAGACCTCGGCGTCAAAGCACGTTTGGGGACGAGGGATGCAGTCTGGAACCTTCTAGACTATAGAATCACGGGATTTTGGTGGAACCCTACTAACTAGTCTTCTAGAAACCTTCTTTTGGTTTCGGGTTTACGATATTTTGGGTGTCATTGGAGAGAATGACAGGAATTGGGGATTTCTGAGATCACTGGATCGGCGGCGGGTTCTTGGAGGGTGGGTCCGATTGGTGGTAGATCATGATCATCATCCAATGATCCCCTGTATTCCGCGGTGATCCTTAACCCGGCCTGTCAATACAAACTGCTTTAACAGTACTACTTTCTAATACTTTCTAGCTGGGCGTCTCAACTGACAGCTTGTATATGCTTGTAACAGAACAGCTGGTCAACTTTCCTCCGAATCCAGCGCCATCGTCGCCTTCGTCCCGGGTCGCCTTCGTCCTCTGCGACGTGCAGCAGCTGCAGTGCCGCCTGCCAGCGTCGCCAACGTGCTGCTGCCGCGATGTGCGCACCGCGGACCACCAGCTGCGAGCGGAAGGGCGCAGCGCCTCAGCCCGGAGAGGGGTACTAGAGTTACAAGGTACAAAATAATTCATCTGTGTTTTTGGGGGTGATTGTCTAGTGCCATAAACTGTCATGTCGACATATGTCAGCAAAATGTTTATGATATGTTATTACATTGTATTATATTTGTAATTACGCTGCTTCTATAATAAATAGGCTTAGAACAGCACTTCTCCCTGAAAGTGACAGAAGTACAGAAGTACCATGCAACGGACACTCATCGATTGCGGCTAAATTCAGCCTATTGAGTGACTTGAAACTAGAGCACGCAAGATTCTCGCACAGAGTAGAACTCATATGTTTGTGTATTTCGTGTATTCTTTAATGGGAGTGCCTTTAAATACATCATAAACTTACCACTGCTTGGCAAGGAAACCATGCTAATTACATTGGTTACCATACTTACTGTAACTTACTGTTGATTGACTCAATCGATAGCCTCAGCTGTGCAAAGAAAAAAAAAACAACCCGAAGAAAACCCGGTTTCATCCAATTTCAGTCCGAAACCGGGCCACTTCCCGCGAAGAACGTCTCCCCGTTCCCCTGTTCTCCACGCAATACGCGCTCCTGGGGTGGATAGGAAGGTCTCCACATGATGGTAGCCGCCCAACTCCCAAGCGCTCAGCAAAACGCTACAGGCCTTGGACCGTTGGGTGAACCGAGCTGCGGTGGTGCTGCCGGGACCGGCAAGATGCTGAAAAGCGAGTTATTGAAAGACGGTCTTTGGGGAGGACCCTGTTATAGTATCTATCGTTGAATCTTAAAGATCCATCATTACCCTGTGATAGATTCGATTTTAGGATGTTCAACAACATTGATCCGGCCCATCAACTGATCAAAGCACTGCATCGGAGAACTCTACGGAGCGCTGATGGGCCTACTTTTTGAATTAACATAGGATAACTCATAAGTATAGTATATACACTCCTGACCACAGGTTCGACATCCCCAAGTACGTACCAGAGTGCAAAAAAATCCTTTGTGTCCAGACCCACTCTCAGCTGGGGTGGAAGCCCCCACGCAACAAACGCGCCTCGCTGACCCCACCGAACGCCGCGGACCGCGGTCCAAGCATCGGTGGCATCCAGCGGTCGCTCCAGCAGCAGCACAGCACAGCGCCTCGGACGGCGATCACGGCGATCACGGCGTCCGAAGTCCGTTCCGTTCCGGGTCGTTTCATCGGTCTGGACCGGAAAAAGAAAGGAAGAAACACCACGAGACCTCAGGGGGTGTTTTTTGGAAGCTTCAAGTGTGCAGAGTTGGACATCAAACGGCGGACCTGCCGTGTTCCAAAAGTATTGGATTAGATGGAAACATATTGAAAAATGCCTTGGATTGGCATGGTTTTTGGTATGGCCTTGCTGCCTGGCTGGTGTATCTCGTGATTCCGAAGTACCTCGTGTCCAGCTTCCGAGGCACCAATCCTGGGCCCGGATGCAGGCCTTGGCCTTTCTGGTGGCAGCCACCAAGCGAAGACCAACCTGTGAGCACATCTTCGCAGATCCACATGGAGTTTCTTTAGTTGAGGAAGGAAGGAAGGAAGGAAGGAAGGAAGGAAGGAAGGAAGCGCTTTGTGTTTTCTTTGCGCTTGTGTTATTATAGGTGTTTAAGTTCCGGAGTTTAGTGTATACTTTTGCAAGGAATTCTAATTGTTCAATTGCATTGTGTGATTCTGTTTTAGGTGCTTCTGGACATTTCAGCAAACAGTCTGTACTTGGTCCCAACGAAGCATGTGGGGTCAAAAAACCAGGTGTTTACCTGCTGCCAAACAGGTCAAGGTCAATTCCTGTGAGTTGCGAAGACTACAAGTTCCAAAGCCTTCAAAACACAACACCCGTCAAAAGACGCATCCGATGGATTGATGGTGCACAAAGAAACCCCAGTGTCAATGATCGATGGATCAAACACCTCCAACATCACCAGCTGTAGCAGTTAGATCGAGCCAGTAGATTCCAATTGACCCTCCCATGCTCTCTTTGTTGGAGTCAAACAGAAACCATCTCTGAGCTTCTTCATATACACAGCGTTTGGCGACCGTTTTCTCAGGAAATCAAAGTCCCATAAAGTCCCTGTCAAAAGCAGAACACGACCGATGGAACTGGCACATTGACCTGCCTTGGAACCGGTTTTGAATGGTCAATGCAAGTGAATGCAAGTGACAAATAGTAACAGGTGGTGAAGGCTTTCATAATATAGACTCTTGATTAATAACACCCCAAGCATGTTGCATTTACGACTGTCCCATAGTTTACAATAGTTTACATACAATCCACCCGTCACACCATGTGACAAGGGGCTGTTGTGGACGTGAGACGAGACCTGAAGTCCCCAAGTGCACATCCCATTTATGAAGATGTTTCAATCCAAATGGGGCGGTTACATATCAATCAAGCCACTACATTCTGGGAATTTTTCAGGAACCCTAAAAAGAAAACACACACATGTCCCAGAAGGGATTCAATCATAAGGAACATAAATAAACAATCCCCTTATTAAGCCAAACCAAGCATTACATGGAGTGTCTGGGTGTACAGCGATCTCGCCTTCCAGGCGCCCGACTGGCTGGCCATCCACCGTCATGGCGACCGGGGAAGAGCTGAGCAGCTGTTCACCGGCTTTTGACCGGCTTTTCGTGGAAGAAAAGCACAGCCCGTGAAAAGGGAGATGTGAAGAAAACATGAAAGAAAACAGGTGAAACTCCACTGTCCAATGGAATGTGAGTCTTGTAAGTCAGTTCGTGTGCTTCTCATGGTGAGTTCACGAAGGTGAATGTGTTCTAAAAGCGTGATAGTATGTGAGTGTGAGAGATGAGGACAGAGAGAGATTGAAAGTGAGAGAGAGAGAGAGAGTTAGTTCATATTTGGATGTTGTACGCAAAAGAGAGTTACTGTAGTAAGTACTGTTGTGAGTGATTTATTGTTGACTCACTCACGTTTTGTCTTCATGTTCCAACAAAAGACGTGTTGCTCAACAATGTAATGGCTTTCACCAGCGTTGAATGCAATTAATTGCTATAATGTATCCCGTATACACAACATTTGGTAGGTTATTGTCATCGTCTTCTGCCGTTTGCCATCGTCTTCTTCAACCAACAGCTGTGCTGCACGGGACGTGACCGGCGGGCGATGATGAGCCAATGGCTGACCAGGCGACCTTCCTCCCTGCAGTTGTAGAGTTCATCAAACTCACATCCCAGCAAAAGAAAGCTATGGTGAAACACGTCATCAGCTTTCATAAGTTTTAATGCATGTGTCACACATTTCCGACTCCAAAGGTGATCAACAAAAATTCAGGTCCCCCCCTGAAAAAAAAAAACACCACCTCTCCCTGCCTCGCCCTTCACTCCGGACCTCCGACCGGCCTCGTGGCTCCTGCGCTCGGCCATGTCCACTTGCTCGTTGAAGCGTTGCTGCGCGATGCGCACCTGGGTGCGGCTGGGCGGTGGGGTGACCGGGGTGACATAGGTGTTTGGGGGTGCCACCAGGTTTTCGAAGAACATGATGGAAGACATGGGGTGGGGGGGAGGGCAAATGATGTTGCTGGCTTTGAGGAGGCGGCTGATAAGAAGTAATGATTATTAGAAGGAATGGATAGCGAGTGAAAGGAATTCAATGGTCGAAAAGTAGTGTTGAGAAGTCCTCACATACACCAAGTGCTACGCTGATGCTCTGGTCAACATGGCTGGGGCAAAGTAGTGGCTTTGCTTCTGGAGATACTAGGTTGCGACGGCTGCTGCGTCAATGACTTGCCAAATGGCATCAAACAGCTGGGAGTGAGAAACCCAAAACAGCAGACTAGCAGTGGAAACCTTCAGCGCATCAGCTAGGGATCAGTTTTGATCCTTGCCCATCTGTGCGCAATCCCACCTTCTCCTCTGCAGTGTCCTTGCCCATTTGCACACGCTCTTGGCACCGTCGTTCCACATCCTGCACCATTGTCCAACATCGTCGTTTCGCAATGGTTCGCGCGTCTTCTGGGCCCAAATGGATCTGAATGGACGCTGCTGATGGGGACGAGCCCAACAGCCCGCAACCCACCCTTCGTCCATGATCATGACTTGTTAGGAGGAAACCACTTGAGCGGGGAAACACGAAAGGTAGAGACGGACCGGTAGCTGTCGGGACCTTTTCTGGTGAGGGACTGTCTCCGGTGTTTCAGGAACGTGCCCCTTGGTCAATCATGGGTGAAACCAACAAAGCCAGAGAGCACAAGAAGGCTCAAGAGGAACACCGTTGCGGTCAGATTGCGCCACACGGCTCTGCAGAGAGGCTGCGTTGCGTCGACGCTCGTTTGTGTAAAGGTGTGTGAAGACAGGCGCGCGAAAAAGTCGCAATGCGTAAACGCTCGCATGTTTACCAGCTATTGTCCCACAGCTGCACGCACTGTGTCAGGATTACAGGCCTGCACGCGTTGCGTCGAAGCCGCAGTGACCAACCCCCTTGTAAGGATAGTGCTGGAGGGGTGCGGCCGGTAATTACTGCCAGGGATGGACGTCACGCTATGGTGGGTGTGCTCCACGCTGCGGAAGGATTTCGCCACGCTAGGGTATAATGGCTGAGTCGAATGGTGTTCAGCGACGCGAGGGGTTTCTCCATAGGGCTTTGCAGAGAGGCTGTGTTGCATCGATGCTCGTTGGTGTCGAGCAATATGGTCTGTGAACGCAGTACGCGCTGTGTCAGGCTGCCGGGTACGCACGCGCGGCATCGAAGCCGCATTGCGCGACCTCATTGCGCAGGGTTCGTGCTGTATTGCGCAACCTCATGGCCAGCGTCGTACTGCTGTGACTGCTAAGCGCATGACTTCACCTTATGTCCAGAATGCTAGTAGTGCTGGCGACGAGGGGAGGGACGGGGGGGTCGAATCAATTGATTTATCAATGAATCATCACATGGGACGGGGGGGGTGGGAGGGGGGGGTGGGGGTGTTCGACATTGATCTACCAATCTTTAGTCCCGAGCAAGCTCTCATCAAGCCAGCTCCTTTGCTTCGCAAAGCAAACTCAAGGTAGTCCTCACCAGGCTACCTTTCGTGAATTGATTGAGCGTTGCCAGTCGAGCTGATTTCGGTCCTTGAATATCCTTGAATGCCATGCAAACGCCGACAAATCAACACGAGCCTGCAACTCTCAGGACTCTCAGGAAACTCCGTTGGTGCCTATTTGGTTGCTGGAAATATCGGCAGCTGGACCCCTGTCGTGATCATGGCAGTCTTCCGAAATGGTGCAAGTGAAGGCATGAGGCGCTGATAGATGCAGGTAGCTACCGGGCCTCCATCCACCCCCCCAGTCCCGCGACGGAATCGGACCTGTTGGCCCACCACAGGGCCGTCCTCCACGTGTCGTTTGGTCTGCTCCAAGCGTGCTTCTGCCTAGGTGATTGGCATGGGGAATGGGCAAAGACTCAGGCAGAAGCTTCACAAAATTATCACAAGGCCATTTGTGGCAAGATGTGGCAGCAAACTCAGGGGCTACCATGAATTCCTGTGAGCTACTGACCTTGCAACTAGAGCCTGAAGTAACCCCTGCAGCCGGTCTCGCATAAATTTGCTGTGGACGCAGTAGCCTTGATCCAGCATATCAGGTGGGGCATAATAGATCATAATGGCACCCATCCCCAACTGCTGAACAACCCCACTGTTCCGCAATCTATAACACAAAACTCGTGGATGCAAGTAAAACCACGCCTGTCGGCGCGTCTGCGCGGACTTCTGCTGGCAAAAGGCCTCAAGGTTGAACATTAGTCGGAACAGGCGTGATCCGAGTTACATTGCTAGCACGTAGGTCCGGTGGAGTTCTTAGCATGGCGAGTGGCTACACATTCGAATTCATTGCTTGGTGTCTTGGCATTCATTGTGCTTCATCCATAGAGAGCCTCCTTGTGTGTCGTCGGCGAGCTATGCAGACCAAAATAATCTTTGAAACAATGACAATGACTGGGAGTATGTTCGGCACGCCAGCCATAGATACAAAGATGCCATGCCATATTAATGGTTGGTCATGTATGGCTGCCATTGCTTAACATAAGACTGAGAATGTATCATTCGAAAGCTGCGGCTGCAGCTGCTGCTGGTCACTTCCCTTGCCAATCCTCTTTCATCCTTGTCCCACTTGGCGCCCGCACTGCGCGGTGCCTCACCAGCTCATGCGACAAGGCACCTTGGTTCCTCACCACCGCCTGCCGCTCCTGATGGATTCTTCTTCCGCGGCCAGATGTTTCAGGGAAATGTCAGGTTACAATGTGCAACAATGGATGGATGGAAGCTTAGATTTCTAGATCAACCACCTCTTTTGAGAAAAACAACTGTCCTTTGCTTTTTAGTTTGTCTCACGAAAGGCAGTGTAGAATCTCTCGCCAATGATTGCCATGCTCCAAACCCACCCACCGTTGCCCCTAATTGCAGGGCTTTGGGATTGGATCAACATCAATCACTGTCAGATCTTTAAGCAATGCTTCACATGTCTATGAGTCCTGAGAGAGATGCTTCATGGGCCGAAGGCATGGCGAGCCAACAACTTCACCCACATTATGGGAGGGACCACTGAAAGACCTATATTAGTAGCGTCACTTGTTACTACTAGCTTCTTGCTACTAGTAGTAATGCCCTGGCCCTAGCTACTAGTAGCGTCCTTGCTACTAGTAGCGATGCACTCGTTACTACAGTAATGGCGATGGCGAGCCAACGTCTTCACATCGGATGAACCAATGTCTTTCTTCCGCACCTCCTGCAGCTCCTCGGTCTTCCGCACACCTGAAAATAGCGGTGGAGAATACCATGTTGGGTGGTGATAACTTTAGCATCCAGGTTCTTATGGTCTGGAGTGTGGGGGAGCCCTTATCTCAAAACATTCATGTGGCAACATGTGGCAATATGCAATAGCACATGAAATCAAGCCCAATTCGTATCGTGCATGCATGCATGGGTTTACTGGGTACAATAATGGTCCGAATAGCCTGTCTCCATGTTCAACCTTGCTTGTGAGTATATCTCTGTTCAATGGGGGCCTGCCGATCAAGACCAACATGTTGACCAAAACAGCACATCCATGATTGCGCTGCGTGGTGTGTGTGTGTGTGACATTCAATGAAGATTTTGTCCTTTGGTGGGATCAACAGCCAAATCAACAGCTACTGCTTTGTTGCATCTCCAAGTGATTGGAATGTCAGTGTCAACCTATCCTGCAATTACTGCAAGGACTACCTTTAAAGCAACAAAAATATGGAAATGTTTCTCCAAGTGGCCAAGATGTATTTGCATGATTGCTCTCAGGAGTGCATTTTAAATCACGTCCCTCGCTTAGGGGATTGGTCTTTGAATTCCCACCGGTCCCGGTGATTGCGGCGATGTCGAACAAGCATGTCCGCACATCCCCGGACTCCCGGTCAGCCGTCGGCACTGAGAGTGCCCACTCTGAGCACAGTAGTCCTCGTGCATCTCGCGGTGCGTCAAGAGGCGCTGCAACAAGTCCTCCGGAGAAGTCTAGGTGGCGGATGCGGACAACGAGGATGGGGGGATGGATCACGAGTAGGTCATCTGTGGGAGTCGTTGGTTTGTTTGTGTCTGTAGTGGAAACACAACAACATACTAGCAACTAGCTGATAGCTCAAGAATCATCTTATGAACCTCTGTCTGCTTGTTTGCTTGCTCTCTTTCTCTGTGACTTGTTTGAAACCGCGCCATCCGCGCCTCCGTCTCGCTCTCTGTCTCACTCACCTTGGCCTCATAGATCCGCTTGGCTTCCTGCAGAGAAGCCATTGCTTGGCAACACAGGGCTTGAACCCAGCGCGAATTCATCGACAACGTGTAGGGCATCATCCTACACCCAAAACCCTCCGTGTATGGCAATATGTGGCAATACCTTGGGGTGGGCTTCACCGGTCCATAGGTGACATCACATACTTTTCTTCAGCATGTTGGATGGACCAAACCAATTCTGATGGTACTCAATTGATACATGTTCTAGGACTATGGCGATGGTCTGAATCCATTTGTCTACATTATGTAATATATATATATATATATATAGAGTATCAACCAAGTTTAGAGCCATCACCTGGATGGAAATTCTGGAGGTCGTTCCTGTTTTGGGGTCGTCTGAGCATCTCGCCTCCCACTTGCCGTTGAGCTCCTTGAGGGACGAAGCACATTTCACCTGCGCGGAACAATCATGGGGCGATGACCTTTTCTTTTGCAAAAAAAACACAAAACACTTGAGTTCAAGGGAATAGGCTGATGGATAATCAATCCTGCAAATAGGAACCACAGGGATTACCCCTTCCAAGCATGTTAGAGTGGTACATGTTCAGAGCTTCAGAATAGCACTCCCTTTCCCCAAAGCCCGAGGCCTTCATTCAGATCCGACTGTACTTTACTTTGCTTGAACCTCAGAACCCTTCCTCAAAATTGATCTGCATCTTCAAACCGTTCTTGCAACCTGCATCGCCATTGAATTTCCACGGGGGGACTTCTTAAGTTCCTCTAGGTTGCTGTGTGCACAGGGCTCAAAACCAAAAGAACCCAACCCATATGGCAGGTGAAATGGCCTTGCAGACTTGCAGATCAATTTTTGTCCGTCGTCCATGTCGTCCCCTTTTAAGCACCGACTGGCATCTTTTCCGCTGAAACCTCGACAACAACCTTCCGCTCTGCGTGTGAGTCAGTATTCCATTGAACCCACAAAATGGAGGGCCCTAAACAACTGATGCCCAGTGGATCAACAAACAAAGCAATCTTACCCACTGTGGGGGTCTCCAGATCTTCAACCTCCAGGCGCCCTGTCGTCACTGTCACCCCATCTTGCATCCTCCATACTCCATCTTCCACGGTCCGTCCACACCTCCAGCTTTTGCAGCTGTTCTTTGGCGAAGTGCAAACGCCGCTCCAGGTCTGCCACCTCCTCACCTTGGGTAGCGCGTGGGCCGCGCGTGGGCCGCGTGGGTGAACGAACACGCGCCAAAATGCGCCCGCGCCGCGTGGGTGAACGACGGGTTCCAAAGAAATCGCTTGTGTTCTATCCTGGAATCCGCAACAAAAAAGGGATCATGTGTGAATCAAAGAACATTCTTTAACTTTAAAACACCCAGTACCATCCAAAGGTACCTAAATTTACGTACCTGTTTTTGTCTGCTCGAGATCTTGGATTTCTGATCATTTGGGAATTTGCGCTCGTTTCCAAAAAAAGTGCTCGAGACATGTTAACACCACACTGTATTTAGATAAACCACTCACTGAAGTCCGGTGCACCAATGCATACACCAGCACACACACACACTTTTCCTTCACCATTGACTTCGTCCAAGTCAGCCGGGGCCCAAATGCGAGAAGTACCTTTGGTACTTTAGGAGGCATCGGGACATTGTGCTCCAGGCTATTAGTCGTCCAGCATTCACTCGACGTACGATCCTGGCTGCCCTTCCTACAAAGTCTTCGTCACTCCAGCATCCCCAGCCTTAGGTGTGTTGGCAGGAGTTCTGGTTTGGGTGTTCATACCTCAATCATTGTGACAAGCAACATTGGGGATTGAGAATTTTGCCAACTCTTCCAGAGCTGCGGCAAAGAGAGAATCTGAAGCTCCATATTCTTCCTCAACTTCAGCCACTAACGGATGGTACTGGAACACTCAAACAAATCTCCAGAACAGTGTGGAACAGTTTGGCTAAAGTGTCGGGATATGAGCATATAGATGCAGCTTTGGCCTGAGAAGGTACAAGTTCCAATTGCGCTGCGCGCACATGGTTGCCAAACCAGCATACCCTTCCTGAGGTTCAAAGATAAAAACACTTAAACTTCTTGTTGTGATATGAACTACAAGACACTTGGGAGTACAGGTACACTGCATTCAAAAGTCTGCAACATTGAAGCCATATCGGCAGATGACTTCTGCTTTAGCAACCTCGATCCAGACTCCTTCCTTCTGAAGCGTGGAGAAGAACCGATTTGCATTGCGGGTTGTCCATGTCATCAGCTCCAACAGGGTCCGGTCTCCAGGATCCTTGGGGCTGATTGAAATTTTAGGTGAAGCTCAAACAACTCTGTCAGAATAACTAGCTCAAGAACTCTCCAAACAGATGTGAAGACTTGAGCCCTGGTTCTACATCAGTTGGGGCCATTGCATTAAGCTCCCACTCCAGCCATTGGCACATGAGTTTCGTATCATGTGCACGCCCGTGGCCTTGAGGAAATGATTTCGACCTTGGAGGCCACCAGCTGGCAAAGGAAGGGGCAGGGGGCCAGGGAGGTAACAATCACACCCTACCCCTTACAGAACACATCCAGACAAAAAACACTTCAAAAGATACAGATCAAGAGTCGACTGGATTTTGAAGTTCTTTGCCTGAAAGGACGTCAATGACGATGATTTCTTAAATTCTGCACACCAATTGTCAAACCTCTCATACGCTTGGTCCAGTTTGGATTGAAGGCGGGTCCCAGTGAAAATGTTCATCCGGCAAAGGGCTATAAGGGAGCTTGCATAGAGGTCACCACCAAATCCCAAATGAAAGCAGTGCATAGGATCAGGCTTTATAGCCTCTGCAAAAGAAGACCCTGGAATTGACCGAAGGGGGCTATACTTGTCTGGCTTGAATGGTGAAGGAGAAAGCTGAGTCCACATGCGAAGTTCTCCAGCCGGCGACATATTCCACCATTCCTGGGCAATCATACATTCACATGTGCACATGAGCAGGAGAGCCAATCCCCAAAATCACACTATATATAGCTCACACAAAGAATCTAGCTTATGCTAAGCTCAGATGAAGGGACAACTGCTGGGCACAAATGGCACAGCCGAAGCGAACGGAAACCGGACTGAAGATGGTATGCCTTCCTGGCCCACACCCAATCACCCTTTGTACCGGTGAATCCTGCATAGAAGAGATGGGTAGCACCATCAACCTAGGCTTTGTTGCAGATGCATGTCAATTCTCATCCCTCGATACACTGAGCTACCTAAACCTTATTGTAGGCAAAGGGCATCAACTGAAACACCATCCTCAAAAGCAGCACAAAAGTCGTCTGCCAGGGCTTGATGGAGTCCATCAATGCTGGCATCATCTTTGGCGTACCACTGCGAAGGCAAGACGGTGTACAGTAGTCGGGTGGAAAAGGAATGCCTCACACACACAAACAGTTGAGACCCTGTTCATGGCCATTTGGCAATAACCATGCAACAAATATATCACACAATCCACCACAAAGGAATTGAGGGCAAGCTGCACTGAAGCATTCAGGCTTTCCACACCAGTGAAAGGGATCAACACTTGGTAGCTCAAGATCAGAACTGGAGCCCTTGAGAGTCCTCTTCCTTCATCTCCGTGTAGAGCTATTGGTATCGTTCGTTTTCGTCGGCTTGGGTCTTTTTGGTAGATTGGGTGTGAATCATCTACAAGCCGGAAGTTATCCCAAAACTCTTCCAGCATATCCATGTAGGCAGAGCCACCAATATCATGGCCACCCAAAAGGAATCTGGGAGATTTCTGGAGAATGGTTTTCATCCAATTGGTCAACAAAATGACTGGGTACTTCACCACAATCTCGCGGATAGAGCGTTTACGCCTGCCATGCTTTGTTCGCACCTTCTGACGAAGTGGAATTTCAGGAGAACTAATGGATACTGGAAAGGTCTTCCCATCTCGAAAGATATACCTGCGGAAATCCCGGGCTGCATTCTTTCCAGTCTTCCCCGACTTTGTTAGCCGATAGCGGGCTATCTTGTTGATATTGGTGTCAACTACACCTGTCCAGGGTCCCAAAGGTTTTTTGCACAACAATTGAACTTAAATTTGTACAAGCTGTTGGCCCACCCAACCTAGCTTCTTGTTTCTTTTTGCAGTGACCCCAGCCAAACGTAGCACCCCATGCGCCGTGGCAACCTAGGTTCAAGACGAAGTATATATATCGAAAGCTGTAATAGCTTCATGACATGTTCCAGTTATATAGCTTTAATGATATCCATTTGAGTTTTGCAAGAAAGGCAGCTCCATTCTCCGCATCTTGAAGAAGAGCATCAACCAAGTCATCAGCAACACCAGGCCTGGTTCTACGTGATGATCATCAGCTTCCTCATCGATATCCAGGCCTGCATTGCATCAGCAGCAAATGGAACAAAGGCAGTTCTCACACAGAAAACAAGCACTCCCAAATTGTTGCAACACACCGCAGTGCAAACGGGTGCAAAGCTATAGTGGAAGCACTTTTTGACCTGTACCCCCAGGCTTTTGGCACAAATGTATATGGCAACACATGTGCCAATTGACAAGACCCACGCAGCTGTCATTCCTGACAAACGCGATCCAAAAACTGGAAATGCTGCATCACTTTTTGACCTTTTTGGCCTTTTTCTTAGGTGATGCCTTTGCTTTGTTTTCCTTCCCTTTGGAAGTAGCGCTAGATCCCTTCACACTCGCCGACGAAGATTTGATGTTCCTGGGGCAGTTGGACCAGTATAGCAAATTTGCAATGCAAGAGTGACTTTAAAGTATAGTGCATGGATAATTGCCACATAAACTGAATGCTTTCAAGGTTCTTGCTGCGGGTGATGTAGTTGTTTAAGGTCACATCAGTCTTGGTGCAAGCTGCAAACAGGTTCATGATATTATTATTCTTCTCATCCAGACCCCTCGTCAGGGAGGAACAGTCAAAAGTGTTCAACCAATCTTCTTTTCGCTGGTAGACTCATGGAACCAAAAAAACAAGACTAGTGGATCAACCAACACAAGACGGACATTGAATTCTGCTGGCCGCCTTGTGTCATCCATGCTGAGGTATTCTGCCTGCTGCTCACTGAGAGCTGTGTACTTGGTGTTCAAAATCTTAACCAGCCCATTGATCTGGTCCGCAATCCTGGGCAAAGGAGACCAATCTTTCTTTGATATTCTATGTATATATAGTGAAACCTTTGAACCTAATTGTTCATGGTATAGTTTCATCTCGAGGTACTCAGTCGCACGGGGAATCTTCAGGCTCCGCAACTTCTCCTCAACACCCAAATGTAACCCTGTAATGACTGCATGCATATACACACATTACCAATACAATATTTTTACAACTTGTCCTGTTGGGCCGTCGCAGAATCTATCTTCTTTCCCAAGCAAGCTATGAAGCTTGGAAGCAAGGTGAATGGTGACTGGTTCTTCTGGAGAGTTGGGAAGACCAGCCCCAACCTAAGATAAAGACCAATGTTTTTATACACCATCAATGAACGTATGAGTCACGAGGTGCCACAACAAACTACAAGCAAGCAGTGTATCCTAGCAGCTTGCCCGACGAGGCAGCAGCAGTGGCCTGCTTGATCAGTGCCTCTTTGTGGTCTGGATCAGAAGAACGAGGCTTGGTCCCGAATTCCTCCTCCGGGTCAAGGTTGGTATCCAGAAGGATCCCATCAGGATCCTGCAGGTTGAGAGAGATGCAAGGCAGGTAGAAAAGCCCTGGCACAGCACCTTCATCAGTATACAAATGAATAGAGTTGGCCAGTCCTCCATTTCAGCATCCCCCATCATACGGTACTCTTCTCCTTTCTCATTCCTACTCGAGAAGCTTTCCTTCAAAACCAGTTTTGCTTCCTCCTCCTTGTGTACTGGATTTCTGCGGACTAGACCACGGGCTGCAGCCCATTCAAAAGACTCGTCGATCATTTGCCTAGCATCGGTTGACCAGTGCGCTGCATACCGGCTATTGTATACTGTATGTCATTATACAGAAATGGCAATAGAAAACTTGCACCTATTTTCATCCAAAAGTCTTTGTATAGTGTTCGACATCAGCCAAGTAGGCACGGGTTACCCACTGACCCTCCTTCCCCTCAGATTGAAGACGCTTGGCCCAGCGGGATACCTGCAACTCCAGCTGTTTCAAAGACCCATGCTCGCGAAGAAGCTGGCGTAGTTTCTCACCTATGCCCAGCC